ACATCTGGTGATGCTGTAAGGGAATCCATCACCCAATTTCGTCCCCTAGGCGTCGTAAAACGTGACTATGAAAATTGTCAGAAAAATGTTATCTCTTCCGATAGATAGCGGCATGACCTTTTCATTTTTTGTCAAACCTGCGAAATGTCTGGCACTGCGATCGTAAATCCGCAAACGGAAGAGGCTCACGTCTATCAGTGAAATTTTGCAGGCCAATAAAGAAAGAAGGATTTTATATTACGTTTATTATCATTGTCAACCCTATGTTTTATGAGAATCAAAATGGATTGACTCACTGTGAGTAACGCAGATCCAGAATGTGGTAATATTGTCTTTATTGGATTGGATGGTCGCATAAAATTTGTTAGCTTAAAATTAAAGTTATTATACTGATACAACAAAAGCAGTCCAATCGTTTAGCCAGGCTATAAGAAGGTTACAAGGCAATAGACTAAGTACATTCTTACTAAAATATTTATTTTATTTGTTTCTTTAAACATTATTGAACCTTATACAAATAAACAATACCAGTATATTTGTATATAGATACAAATATAATCTCTGTTTTTCTAATTTACCATAAGAAACACAGCAACATTTTGTTGTCATTTTTCACTGATATACTAAGCTAGTGTACGTATAGATCTATAAAATTTTAATGCCACGTATAATAATACTTAATTTTAATCGTTATTATGATATAACCGACTAGTGGTCACAAACGCGAATGCTGATCATATGGTGCAAGGTACAAGTCCCGGGTCGGGTCATCATCAGCTTATGGGTTTTATGTCAAGAAATTCTTAATAGCAGCTCGGAGTTAGAAATTTCCTATCTTTCTTGGGAGATCCTGGCTACTGAGTTGTGTATGTGAATCAGAGACATAAAGAAAATGGACTGTGCGTTCCGTATTCAGGTATGCAGTGAATACAGACCGAAAAGTACGAGAGGGACAAAGCGAATGTGCGGTCAGTAGTTGTCTCTTTCTAGAATTCTGATTGGTCCATGTCACCGGCGTCGTTACTTTATCGTTTTGTCATCTTTATCTTTCGGGGCGCTGCGCCTTTGGTCTTAGGCTTGCAGGAAAAAGACAGGTATTGGCCGCACAGTTACTTTGTCTCTTTCTTGAGAATGGTCATTTTTGTGAGGCTAACGCTCAGTCCATTATTTCTATGTATATGGTGCGAATGTAGTCATGGTTTGAAAACGCCAAAAACTGGAGATGACAAGTAAGTGCTTGCCGGTATGGCACGAAGCTCGACAGATATCAACAAATCAAAAGGTTTGTTTGTCCAAAAAGTTTTATTATATGAATGTTACGATTTAACAGAGGGCAGCCCTATACCAGCCTATTTGAGGAACACATAACGAAGAAAGGTCTTTACAAAGCCCTATAAAAATGAGTGAGAGAAAAGCTTGATTTATTTATTTCATTAACACGACAACAGTAACAAGTAGGTGTGATTTTTACATCAGTACTGCCAATAAAATATGTTCCTGAGGAAACAATTGATGTGATGGATATAAAAGCTTTATTTTTGTAGTAACCGGCGCAGTGATTTTACTGCGTTGCAAACACTTCGTGTTATACAGGTTTCGGTGAAACAAGCTGATTCATTTTTTCGTATAGAAAAAAACAACGGTACGTTTGCAAGACTTTTATCTTTCTTTTTTCCTAATAAAATCTTTCCTGTATCGAGAAGGCAAATATTGAAGTAAGAAAAAATGCCACTATAATATATTGAAAATTTCTGACACTTTATATTCTGAGGAAAATATATTTATTTGATTTAAGTAATTAAGTTTGTTGGGGATTATTTGGCTTATGCTCAGCAGTGGACTTGTCATAGACCACAATGATGATGAATGGATTACATAATTTTGAAATGATGTCAATGACTATGTCTCGTAATTGAGAAGTAACTTAACGCGCTAGCAGTATATTATTTCTTAATGTAGGGATTACAATAATAATTTAAAACTGCTTATACTTTTGTTTATACTTTACATAACTACACTGGTTTTCGTTACAATCATAAATGTTTATCAACTTTAAGGACTCCTTTGTTTATGTTTTATAGATTTCTGTTTGTCTATACGTCTTCTAATCGACTTAGCATTCCTTATCAGCAGTGTGCTTATCATAAACTGTAATGATCATGAAGGTTAGAGAACAGAAGAACGATGTCTGTAGAAAATAGTGTCCTAGAAATATGGACAAAATAAGTGAGGCGCTGCAATCGCTAAGTTGTCTCAAGAATGTTTTTTATAATTTTAATTATTATAAATATTATAAATTATTACAAATATAAAATATATAAAAATCAATAATAACTATTAGTTATTATTGATTAATTATTATTTTATTTATAATATTTCACCATTTTTAATATTTATTTTTATCAAAAATTAAAAAAATTACTTCGCAGATACTACTTACGGACGGCAGCGCGGCTATAAAGTCTACAAATTTTCACGGACAGGCGGGCTATGCTTTAGCACGTAGCGATCGTTCTCCTGTTCTCTATCCTCCATGATAATGATGACGAATGGATTACTTAATTTTGAAATGGTGTCAAAGTCCATTTTCTTTTAATTGACACGTCATTGTCGAACTGACAGTATATATTTCCTAGATACGCTTTGTTTTTTTTTTTTTTGATCCGAAAAGTTTTGTCAATTTTAGGACTCCTTACATCATACTTTATAAACTCGTCTGTCTTTGCGTCATCAAATCGCCCTAATAAGACATACATGAATTCAATGGATAAAGGTAGTCCACGATCGTGTTTTGTGGTATTTCCCGGTGGAGGCCTGAGCTGAGGCTGAGCCACCTGCGTCCGTCGACTTCCTGCATGTCGTACCAAGTTTTTCACTCCATCTAGAGGGGGGGTTGCCCTACACTACGCCTTCTGGTACGAGGCTGCCGCCACTTGAGAAATTTTTTTTCCACATCGGTTGTCAGTTCTTCGAGCTATATGGCCGGCCCAGGTCCACTTCAGCTAACTAATCCGTTGAGCTATGTCGGTGGTTCTACTGGGGATATTTTGATTTGCAAGTTTATCATGCAGAGAAATAGTCTCCCGATAGCTCGCTGAGCGACCTTGATTGTTCTCATACGGCCAGTAATTTATTAAAGAGTTCGAACAAAGTTTATTATTACACAGGAAAAATCCGAGCATAACTTTCTTAACACTTTAGCTGTCCAGTGCACCGATTATAGTACAAGCCGCTTGGATTCGTCACGTTCGTGTACCGTAAACTTTGATCTCTATTTTCATGGGCTTCTGTGTTAGTTTGCCTTATTTGTCAGGACTTATAAACAGAGCATCAATAAATAACCTAAAAAACGTAAGACATTAAATTTTTTTCCACGTGTGGGTAATAAAAAAAAAATAGGCTTTATTTGTGCAAGGGAACTTTAAAAAAACATTGGTGACAACACAATATAAGTTTTTGCAGTGCGTTGTCAGTCTTTTGGCTTTTGTTCTTGCAGTTTTTAGAAGACTTTCAATGTCAATAATTTTTTTATAACACTAAAAGCAACGTCTTCGTATAGATATACCCCTAAAATTACCAATGGGTTCTAAAAATGTGAGCTCCTATTGGATCCTAACAGTGTACTTGAGGATGATGAAGACAGGCTTCCGAATGGCATTTGTCTCAATATTTCGTTTTTTTTTCAAACTTAACGTTCACACGTCCACGGCACGCGCTAAGTTTACACACTATTTTAACTCGATAAGTCCGTGTACCGAATACGGCACACAGTCAAAGGGTAACAAAAACCGGATAACTAGTTATTTATGTGGGTTAACTATCCAAAATTAGTCACTTTGAATCAATTTGATTAAGAATATTACAAAAACTGATTTGGACGTCTGGGGTTATCTAAAAATGCTGTATGGGGACAGTTAACGTCTTTCTTATATGGCCAGCAGTGAAGAACCATTCTAATTGCATGGTGATATTTTTTTCTAACGACTTGACACTTAAGTTACACTATAGTCATAACCCTATCAACCCTTTATCAGATTTTATGAAATGTGTGTTCATACGGACAGACTGACAACTTTTCAGAAAATTGTGGTTTTTGCATCTGTGTCGGTATTATAGTACGTCAAATAAAATAAAAAACTGCATTAGCACAGACATACACAAAACTAAAGTCCAATCGCGGAGCACGAAGAATTTCATACATTTAACTGTCATTACCTGACTCTGTCACTCCCGCGTAAATACAATATGAGTCTCGCTTCCACAGATACAATGGCCGCCGTCCTCAGGGATTGTAAACCTTTTACTGGAGACTATAAGGTTTGTTTTTGTTTGAATAATGTGGTTTTGATTGGCCTTTAGTCACGACAAAAAGTCCTTGGTTTGACCGTCAAGGTCAAGCAAACCAAGGACTTTACTTTTAGTAATTATAATGTTTAAATAACGAACGACAATTCCATCTTGGAATGCGTAAGTGATCGCTCAGTTTTCGGACACAGTTATTTACCTGTTCTTAGTTTGTTGCTGTTTGTTAGTTTTTGTTATCTTGTTTTAATTGTTAAGTGCTTTTGTTAATTTGTTAAGTTTTATTCACTCTTTTAAAATGGAACCAGCGCCGTCTACCTCGCGTCCATTCAAGGAGTTTGTTTCTCCGCGGAAGAAAAGAAAAATGTCACACTTTAGTGTATCTGAGAAGGTAATGATTATTAACGTGTTTAAATACTTTAAAGAATCCTGGCCTGCTGATAAATATCCTTCAAAAAAAGACATGAAGGACAAAACAGCCAATATCTTGGGCACTTCGAAATCGGCCATATATACCGTCCATAGATACCGTCAAGCCAGCTGCTTCACCGAAAAAACGACTCTCATTAATTGAAAAGATTGATGGGTTCGATAAATCGTGCATCAGACGAATAGTGCACAGCTTTTAAATAAAAGGAGAGTTATCTACAGCAAAACAGGTGCTACATATCATAAATACAGACAAATCCTTACCAAACATGGGCTTGATATCGTTGAATAAATTACTGATACATTTGAAGTTTAAGTATGTCAAACGAAGGAGAAATAACGGGTTAATCGACAGAGATGACATAGCATTGTGGCGTATCAAATATTTGAAAAATATGAAAACTTACCGACAGCAACAACGACCAATACTTGGATGAAACTTGGGTGAATGCGGGTAAGACTTATTTTTATTATTTTCTAACTGACTTAAATCTATACTAAAATTATGAATATGAAAGTAACACTGTCTGTCACCTTTATACGCCTAAACGGCTATTAACCGTTTAAACCTTTGATTAGTTTATTCATTTACTTTTCAGGGCACAGGCACACACATGTTGGCAAGGTGTGGGAAGACATTACAGTGCAGTCACGAAAACAAGCATTTTTGGAGGGTTTGTCGACGGGTACCAAGAATACTACTTCCAAAGGCAACCGGCTAATTATTTTACATATAGGAACAAGTATTCGTGCCAGAATCGGAATTGGTGTTTGAATGCAGCCAAGTTCAAACATTGGTTTCAAGCAATGCTACCGAGACTTAAGCCAAAAGCAGTAGTTGTCATGGATAATGCCAGCTACCGCTCAAGACGCCAGGAAAAAATCCCAGTTACTAGTTGGAAAAAAATTGATATTCAAGAATGGCTTTCATCAAAGCAAATTTCTTTTGAGGCAAAGGAAAAGTCCAGCTCTTAAAAAAGGTGAAAGATGTCAAGATTCAGTACCAATCGTACGTGGTCGATGAGCTGGCAAAAGCAGTTGGTGTGGAGGTATTGAGATTACCTCCGTACTATTGCGATTTGAATCCCATTGAACTAGTATGGGCAGACGTCAAGGGGTATGTGGCCCGAAAAAATATAACATTTAAGATGGCAGATGTTAAAAAGCTGCTCCAGGAGGCTTTAGGCAACATTTCAGCAGAAAAATGGCAAAATTGCATCAGTCACGTAAAAAAAGAGGAATCGAAACTAGCTAGACTAGATGATAATGTAGACAAAACTGTTGATTCTTTTGTGATAAATATGACGAGAGACGTCTTCGGAAATCAGTTACTCCGATACAGAGGAATCGGATTCTGATTTTTGATTTTTTTTTCTGCCGAATTAGTAGATACTTGTCTAGATTATTATAACATGTAATATAAAATCTAAATAAATAATTTATATAATAATAATAATAACTACATTTCATAAGTTGGAAAATTTTCTTTCTCCTTCAAATATTTCATGTAAACCGCACTAAATACAAAAATGTTTGTGACCACTGTCAGTAGGTAAAGAGGTAATTGTACGAAATTCTTCGTGCTCCGCGACTGGACTTTAGCTTATATGAGTTTTTGGTTACATCGTATGTATTTTTGGATCGTTTTTATATCGTAACAGTAGTTAAATACGCAATGCAACAGAAATTATAAAGCAAAACAAAAAACAAAGTTTATTACAGTAACGCGTTCTACATCCTGTGAGAAATAACTTTCTTAGAAATCGAATAACTTAACAGAATACAACTCTTAACTTTATATCATTGCAAAAGAGCATTTCCATCATAAACAGGAGTCAGTTTGAACCCATTAGAACCAATTTAATGTTTTATCGCGTCGAAATCGGGGTGGGACGGGAACATCTTTCGCTGACACTGAAACATGTTGCCTGTATCGAAAACTCGTTCAGACAATCACCATTAATTTCCGCCCTGTAAAGACGTGGCACGACTTCGTTTCGTGCTTATACTGCATTATGAGGGTGCTAAAGGTATAAAGTGATACCTAAGTCTAAACGATCTATACATCTATACATATAAATAAAATTGAAGTGTCTTTTTTATAGGATAGGGTGACAAACGACTTCACAGTCCATCTGATGGTAAGTGGTTGCTGTGGCCCATAGACATCTACATCTATCCTCGATTACGGATCAAAATGCAGATGCGTTGTTACCCGTGAGGACTAAGATGGAATGCTCCGTTTCCAGTAAAAAAGGTCTTCGGTTCTCTACACTCACCATACGAAACACAGCAGCATTAGGCTACTATTTGACGCTGGTATTCTGTGAGAGCCTGGTTCTTCCCCGGTCGAGCCGACCCATTCGTGCTACAACTATACTACTAATATAACTGCAGCATTAGTACGTATTTACAACAGACATGGAGCAATGCTATTAGGGATCTAGGCTATATTTTATCCGAATAATTGTAAATTGTTTTTAAAATTAAATTTATCTATTTACTTATATATTTATGATCTTAAGTCTAAATTTAAATTATATTTTATACAAACTTTTGCTACTGGTGAAGTTTTTATACAAAAATCATAGTCATCTACTATTTTATGAGAGGCGTTTTTGAAGTGCTACTAGGCAGAAAATATAAAATACCCGTCAACCGATTATTTCACCAAGTAGCATAGATTAACATGTGGACCACCCCATAGACTGTCTCACAGGAGACTAGTGAGCAATGTTTTTTTTATTTTCTAGGAGTTACTTCGACCGTGTAGTGGTGGTGTTAAAATAAACACTTACACTAATCGTGAATGTCAGAAAAGGTGACTGAGGGAAAAAACTTGGAATTGGGCAGCAGCGTCATCCAAATAACAACTAGAAAAAATACTGCGGTTGCCAACGCACCTGCCAAGCATGGCAACAATAGCAAATATCTCTCTCTTATGAGACATTTTAAGGGGAAGCCTATAGGCAGTGGACTTCGATAGGCTAACATTAGAAAGATGCTGTTGCCCATCTTCTCGTATGTTTCACCATGTAGATGCTGCGTACTAATACTCCCATATCGTCCTGTAGGCAATATAAGAAAACAAACCAAAAATATAACCTTAATTAACTTAACACGGCACAAAATATTTATGCTGCAAAATTTACAATTTCACTTTGTGTGCCGTTAGTGAGCGCTTATAACTAGAATTTCCTCGAATATTTTTTCCAGTTTCCTTTTTCAAAATAAAATTCACGTATTAATTTATGTTATCTGAGGAAGCTGTTTAGTACGCTAACAAACAGTGGTTCGTTCCTCACCAAGTGTAATTAGGCTCTACCCATTTCGGTATCTTGACTAGAGTCATCTACAAGGACCTGCCAACTATGCGGCAAAAGACGGCAGTGCGAATATGCTAAGCTGGTGTTTGTACTTTGAAATTGAGTTAACTTGTTCCCACAAAAATCCAGCATAAAGTCCTTTGGCATTCAATGATATTAAAAGAATGGAGTGCGTCTACATTTACACAATTTTTATCGAACACTAATTCCTACGGCAATGTAATGATTTATAATCGAGAATAATACACATAGTTATAATCATAACTAGTGTTTACGGTTCGTTAACTCATAATATTATATTTTTGAAGTTTTGATCACTGAGTCACAGTGGGAATTAATAAAATTTAATCCTTACCAAAATATACAATTGCGATACTTCAAGATACTACTTATAAGTTGATTCTGCGTAGATCTGACCAAAAATATTTTGTAAACTGAATGTAGCCGTGGTTAACTATGACATTGTGACGTCAAACACCTCAGTTCTTCCCTTAACTGTGAGTGCTGTGAGTTACTCAAAACGTCGGAAATATAAACGCGATAAAATGTATAATATAAACTAGTTTTATTCAAACGTATCATATATACTGTGGTCATCTGATTCTAAAGGTGAGTTAACATCGATAGGTGACTATTAAAACTCTTCATATTTAAAGTATTGGTTTCAATTCAATAAGCAAAGTTAAATTGAAAGCGTCGCCTTTGCACTTGACGTGTTGTCCAAACAAACTTTAATCATACTGCTACTGTCGTATAGCACTTTTGTTTGTGCATTTTGTACATGTTTGAAATAGCTTATCCAAGAAAAGAGAATATTTCAGGTGCATTTGCGTCTAAAATTTTTGAATTTAGTTGAAAAACTAGCTTTTATCTAGCAACAATTTCATTTTAATTTATTAAATTAAAATTTAGATGTTGTGAGTTGGATAAGCGCAAAACAAATTGGCAAACGTAAATTACGTTACACAACATAAAACTATACACAAACTTGTGATAATACAAACACGAATAATCAATCCCTAATCACTTCCAAGACTACAAAGACCTTATGTTGTAACGACAAAATAATTTAAATATCACACAGCATCAGCGTACTGCTGTGGTGTAACTAACCTATATATTTTATATGAAACACGTATGAGCTAAATAATCACTAAGAAGCTAATTATTAATTTAGAATTTTACTAAAGATGAAGCCTAGTAATATCGAAATGGAATCGGTCATCATAAGCGGTGAAATTATGTAACGAGCGGTTTGGAATAACAGTGCCTGTGGCCTGTTTCTCGCGAAACCTCCTCACTTCTCTCGATAAAGTGGATAGGTCTGCTTGCAGCCGGGCCTCCTTTTCTCGTAGGTATTTTATTTCCCTCCGCCAAGCAATACTAGCCTCAGCATGTCCATCCAGTCAATCTCAATGCGGCACACATTTTGCTCCAGCGGCTCAGCATCTCCATGCGCCATGGCCGCGACATTGCTCCGCACCGTGCGCGCTTCGCTGACGACATCGACTGTAGTCCCGTGTCACTGACCACGTATACTGAATGTGTCACGGGTCGCGGAGTTGTCTAACTTTTTTAATTTGGGCCTCGTTCACGGTGTCTATAAACTTGGCTCCAGAGCTATGCTTTTTCGTCGTTCAGATTACCGTGTTGGTTATTTTTACATGAAAAAACAGGCGTTACGATAAAATGAAGGCGCGGTTTTTACTTACGTCAGAGACCTTACCAGCTTCGATGAAGCGCCCGTTAGATGGTCGGCGCATTTTTTTTTTGCCTCCTGTTTGGCATTTGATGAACACTGCATTTCCTTTATTTGGTCTAGAACAAAAGATGCCAAAACCTCAAACGATGGTAGTTCGGAGCCACGATTCTCCACTTTGAACGAACGCACGGTGTCCGTGTCTAGCTTTTTTAACGAAATATGTAAAAATATAAAGTTCATAAGATCATCATATTTAAGTTTTTTGAGAGCAGCTACCGATGTCACGAATTTATCCAAAAATTGTTCGAGGCTATTGATATTCGCGGACGACATAGCTTCAAATATGAAGAAGCCAAGATTCGCTTATATTCATATATATTTCGAAGCGTTTCGAAAATTAACGAATAGTTTTTTGCTGTCGATGTGAAACCGGCACGTTTTATAGCTTTTATAGCATCGTTTATTCTTTTCTGATTATTTTTTTATTTCTTTGTCTTTATCTGCGATTCGGAACAATTATTTGTAGAAAATATTATCACTTCTTCCGTGCGAGATCCGAACTTGCTTTCCAAAGCGCTGTAAAGTTAATATTAATTAATTATTTATTTTCAATTACATTTTAAACAATTTTTCCATCGTTCAAACCGTCATTAACAACATAAAGACTTTTGGCCTGAGTGATTTTTTTTCAAGTGGTGGTCACGGCCTTTTCTGGTTTATTTACTAAAAGTTAAAAAAGTTACAGACTATATACGTCCTACTGCTGGGCACAGGCTTCCCCTCATTTCTGAGACGGTTTTAGGGTAAGGAAGTGTCCGCCGCGCTGCCCCAGCTTATAAGAAAAAGAATATTTACTATGTTTGAGTGGGAAGATGAAACTATACACAAACTATTGATAATACAAAAGAATAATAATCACTTGACAAAAGACTTCGTGGTGGTTGGTT